CCTCCCGCAGGCCCTGCAGCGAGAGGGCGTCGGCGCCAGCGGCCCGCGGGCGCGCCCCATGGGTCGGATGCCGCCAGCCGCCCCCCGCCCGCGCGGCGCCTGCGGGCGTTTCACGTCTCACCCCCGCTGCGACGGCCCCCCCTCCCCTCGCCCCTGCCATTCGCCCCTCGCTCGCTTCCCCCCCTCCCCTCTCGCCCTGGGCCCTTCCCCCGGCCCCCTCTCCCTCTCCCTCGCCCCCCCCCCCCCCATTCCCTTTCCGTTTCCCTTCTCTTCCCTTCCCATTTTTTTTTGTTTTCTCTCTCTCTCTCTTTCTCCCCTTCCCTCTCTCATCTCCATATCCGTAGTTTTCTGTCTCTTTCTCTCTCTCTCTCTCTCTCCCCCTCTTTTTCTCCCTCTCTCATCTCCATATCCATATTCCTCTGTCTCTTTCTACAGGTATACACACACACTTTTGTATAAGTGTCTATACGTATGTACTTGCTTTGTGTTCTTTCTCGTTAATCTCGGCTCGAGAGTTTTGCTCAGAGCGAGCCGCGCTCAGGGGGCCACGCATACCAGTACCATATTCCGATACCCATCAGGACCCAAATGCCTTCCGAGGATCTTTAGAATTCCATGGTCATCTACCCTCCCGTTACCTCGGGAGGGGTAGCCGCTACCAGAGGACCCTGGACAAAACCGCTGCAGCCACCGCCAATCCCTACGGGTACACCCACTAGGGTGGAGCTCAGGACCAGTACTGGGTGGTAGCGTTGACCAAAGGCAACACTGCCGCCCTGTTTGTTCACTTCAAGTCTGATCCCTCGCTCCCAGCACCAGTCGGCGAGGGGTAACATCGACTCAACGTCAAGGCCTAGGCCAGCAGAGACGGCAACCTCGCCGAGGGCGGTAGCCAGTAGCCACGGTGGAGACACCAGACCCGCATGCGCTCACGCGGATACCCGTACCAGTGCCTGCGTGTGAACCTCCGATGCCAGCAGGAGCACCAGCGATTGCGGCACCGACCGAGGATCCTTGGAACTCCGCGGTCGTCTTCCCAGCTGTCTCCTTGGCATCCGCTCTCCCGCGCATCCAGGAAGGCACCGAGGAAACGCGGAAAACCCGTGCCAGGGCCTGAACGCAAACCTTCGATGCCAGCAGGAACATCAGCGACTGTGGGTCTTGGGGCCCTTTGGGGACTCATTGGTGGGGGCTGGGGGGCCTCCTGGGCCCCGTGGTTCGAAAAGAGGGGGCTCCTTAATTCAGCCCTCCCCCTCGGAGACTCAAACATGGCGTCCTGAGGCCCTTTTGGGCCGCTCTTGGAGCGCTTTTGGGCGATCTTGGGGCCCTCGTGGGGCCCTCTTGGGCCCCTCTTTGGGCGATCTTGGGCCGTCTTGGGGCCACTGTGAGGCATCACGAGCCCATCGTAAGCGAAGAAGCGAGAAGGCAAAACAACATTGGTTTTCCCTGGGTGGTTGAAGGATTCTGGCTTCTTGGAGGATGTCTAGGAAGGCTCGAAAGGCACTTGGAACATCATTGCGGCTGTCTTGGGACCTCTTAGAGGTATGTCGGAGGCTACTCTGAGCCATCTTGAATCCTGGGCCATCTTGGAGGCCATCGTGGTCTCTCTGAGGCCCTCTTGGAGCCATCTTCGGCCATCCTATGCGCTCCAATGGGTCGCGCCCCCCACCCCCCTCCTAGGCCCGGGGGGGGGAGGGGATGGGGTAAACCCCTCCCCCAAGCAGGGGAAGGAGGGATTTGAGCAGAGAGAAGACATATGTCGCTAAACCACCTACGCCCAGAGGGCTGGTGGGTTTTCTCCGACACTGATCGGTTAATTAACGCACGTCGTGGCGGGCGTGTACAGACCGAAGTGTTGGCACGGTGTCATTGATTCCCATTGCAGTCCACATGTAACGCGACTGCGCTGCAAGATGGCGGGCGGCATCGGCGTGGGCATTCATAACGCTGTGGTCGGCATGGGCGTGCGTGGCGGCGTTCGGAAAGCACCTTTGTTTCCGAGGCGGTAGCATGTCGACATGGGCCAGCAGCACGTCGGGGAGCAGCTGGTCGACCCTGACGGCCACGAGCGGGACGACCATTGGTTCAAATGCCGTGTCGCTGACCATCACGGCGGGTACCAGCGGCGCATCATGGAGCAGCATTATTGGTTGGCTTGGTTTGTTTGGACCCTCTGCTTTGCCTGGCCTCCTGTCAGGGCCCCCCGGGTTTCCCCGCCCGGCCCCCACGGCGCATTGGCCTCTTGTGGGTGGGATGCGTGCATCGGCTACTTTCCACGAGCAGCATTGGCTCACTGAGAGTGGGATACGAGCTTCGATTTATTTCCACGAGCCCCATTGACCCACTGGGGGCGGGATGCGAGCTTCGACCAACACGTTGGAGAGCACCAGCTCAACCCTGACGTGCATCAGTGGGATGAGCGCTGCCTCGAGTACCACGCCGCTCAGCAACGCGACAGGCACCAGCAGAGCACCGTTGCGCGGCACGCCAGAGTGCACCTGCTAGACCCTGACGGGCGCCAGTGGGGCGAGCACCACCTCGTGTACCACGTCGCTGATCATCGCGACGTGTACCAGCAACGCACCGTTGAGCAGCACGGCTGCGAGCACCAGTTCGACCTTGACGTGCGCCAGCGGGACGGGGACTGTTGCGAGTACCACGTCGTTGGGCTGCATGACGCACATCGACGTTGAGCAGCACGTCGCTGACTACCACGGCGGGCGCCAGGCAGCACATCGCTGAGCAGCACGACTGGAGGTGGCAGCGTCCCGACGTGCACCAGCGGAACGGGCACGGCTGCGAGAGCCACGTCGCTGGGCAACACGACGGATGCCAACATCCCGACGTTGAGCAGCAGTACGCTGGAGAGCAGCAGCGCTACCTTGCCGCCCAAGAGCGGAACGAGCAATGTCTCGAGTACCATGTCTCTAACCACCACGACGGATACCAGTTGCACATCGTTTAACAGCACGGATGGGAACAGCAACTCGTCCTCGACGTTAATGTATGGGACGACTAATTATGGCATCGAGTATCACATCGCGGAGCAGGACGAGGGCAACTAGCACCTCGACGTTAAGCAGCACGTCGGGAAGCAGGAGCAGGATCCTGATGGCCACGAGTGGGACGAGTGTTCTCTTGAGTATTACGCCAGTGACCACCGCGACGGGCACCAGCAGCGCACCGTTGAGCAGCGTGTCGGCGGGCACCAGCTTGACCCTGACGCGCGCCATGGGCGAGCGCTGCCTCGAGTGCCGCGTCGCTAAGCTGTACCGCGTCGCTAAGCTGTGCGACGGGTACTAGCATCTCGACGTTGAGCAGTACGTCGCTGACCGCCACGGCGGGTACCAGCAGCGCATCTCTGAGCAACGCGACTGGGAGCACCAGCTCCTTGACGTGCACCAGCATTGCTTCGAGTACCACGCCGCTGAGCGTCGCGACCCGTACTGGCATCTCGACGTTGAGCATCCCGTCGGGGAGCGGCAGTTCGACCCCCGAGCCCACGAGTGGGACGAATACTGTCTCGACTTCCATGTCGCTGGCTACCACAGCGAGCGGGCACCAGCTACGCATCTTTGAGCAGCGCGTCTGGGCGCAGCAGATCGGCCCTGACGGCCATGAGTGGGACGAGTCCCGCCTCGAGTATTGCCTCGAGTGCTATTGAATCCATTGCCCAGTACTTCCGCGGTCCGCATTGGCCCGCTGAGGATGGGATACCCGCATCGGCCTATTTCCACGAGCCGCATTGGCCCACTGGAGGTGGCATGCGAGATTCGCCTTTTTTTGTGCGAGCCGCATCGGCCCACTGGGGGTGGGATGCGAGCCTCGCGCTATCTCCACAAGCTGCGCTGGCCCACCATGGGTGGGATGCGGGCTTCGACCAGCACGTCGGGGAGCACCAGGTCGACCCACCCTCGCGCGCAAAGACTACAGGCCGCCCGGATCGCCCTTCACCAGGCCAGCTCGCCCGCTCGCCCCAGGGCGTTTCCCCAGGCGAGCGAGTGGGCGCGTCTAGATGCAGACCACTAGTGCGCAGGTGTTACCTTCCTTTTTTCCGATTGAGCCCCACGAGCTTGTGGTACGTTTCCCGAAGCTCTCATGCGTAGGGCCGCTGCGCTCACTTCTCCCATGCTTCGCTTCGAGCGTGCCAGCGCGCGCGTGTGAAGGCGCCGCTACAGTGCTAGCCCATGCCAAGGAACACCCTGCTTGCCTCCAGGGTGCCCTGGGTTTCTCGGGTTTCGATGGTTTTGCCATGGAAGGCGTGACGTCAGTGGATGTCCTAGGGTTCCAGGGTTGGGTTTCTAGTGGAAGGTTTCTTGTGGTGGTATTGCCACGGGTGCGCAGACGGGCCCTTGAGCGGCCTGATCATCGCAAGCCCTCGTGAGCGATGCCCAAAAAAACGAGGTCGTCTGCTCTGACATTGGCGCGTAAGCTGCCCGCGCAAGGTAGCACGTACGCGCCTTCTTCCCCAAAGTAGCGTGCCGCGCTGGCGACCCGCGTAAGATACCGCGTGAGGTCGCTGCACCGTCTCGCGCAAGACCCGTTTTCGATCGTCGCCCACGTTGTTTTCCAGCCCGGCTCCTCCACAGGCCGCGCCAGGGGAGGGGGTTTTCCCACCGCCCCCTGTTTCGGATGCGGCGCCTCGCGCCTTGCGAGGTGGGCCTGCAGGGCGCGTGTCGCCTCGTGGCCTGGGCGAACCCTCGTCCGAAGTGGTGCGCATCTCTCTCTCTCTCTATCACTCTCTTTCTTTTTGTTGTTGTTTTTCTCTTTTTTCTCTCTCTCTCTCTCTCTCTCTCTTTCTTTTTTTACGAACTTATCTTTCTTGTGCTCTCTCTCTCTCTCTGTCGTTCTTTCTCTCTCACTTTCTCCCTCAGTCACTCCCCCTGTCCCTCTGTCTATCCCCCCCTCCTCCAGGGTCGCTCCGACTCCGCCCGTCCGCGGGCCGCGTTTCTCCGGCCCACTGCCGCTGATCCAGATGTTACGTTGGGCCGAGGCGCGAAAATGTGGTTGCAGCGACGCCGACGACGTCGACCACAACCACGACGACTACGGTTGCGACCGCGACCGCGGCGTTGGTGGCGGCGCGACGCCGACGACGACGACGACGACCAGCAGCACCACCACCACCACCACCACCACCACCACCGCCACCACCGCCACCACCACCACCACCACCACCACCCACCACCCACCACCCACCACCCACCACCCACCACCCACCACCCACCACCCACCACCCACCACCACCACCACCACCACCACCACCACCACCATCACGCAGCCGAGCATCCACAGGGACGCGCCGGCAGAGTGAGAGCAGCAGCATCGGCTACCCGGGCTCACTCCGACCAGACAGGGAGGAGGAGGAGGAGGAGGAGGAGGAGGAGGAGGAGGAGGAGGAGGAGGAGAGGAGGAGGAGGAGGGGGAGGGGAGGAGGAGGGAGGAGGAGGAGGAGGAGGAGGAGGAGGAGGAGGAGGAGGAGAGGAGGGGGGGGGAGGGGGAGGTGGGAGGGGAGGGGGAGGGGGGAGGGGGAGGAGGAGGAGGAGGAGGAGGAGGAGGAGGAGGGGCGGGGAGTGCGGCGACGGCGACGGCGACGGCGGCGGCGGCGGCGGCGACGACGGCGGCGGCAGCGACCTCGACGCCTCGACGCCCGCGCACTGCGCGGAGGACCACGGGCCCCCGAGGGTGCCCGTGCCGGCAGGGCTGCTGCGGCTGCGGCAGGAGAGCCGGGGGGCGGGCGGCTGCTTCGCGCCGCGCGCTCGGGCGGCCACGCCCGTGTGTTTCGGCGGCGAGCCCAAGGTCGCAGGCCGAGAGGTTGACACCAATACCAATATCGGCGGTGTGCCTCCACCGAGGGAAGACGATTCCGATCTCGGTGATGGTGTTAATATTCTGGTTCCCAAGGTGGCCGAAATATAGACACCAACACCGACATCTAGGATCATCTTCCCCCTGTGGAGGCAACCCCCTGTTCTGGTGTTGGTGCCAATTTCCAGGCCTCCAACAAGGGGGCCCGAGAAACAAGTCGTCTTGTCAACGATGGTTAACATGAGGGCATCGTTCGTCCTCGAGATGGTGGGCCAGCTCGCGTGTGGGTCTGAAAGGTGCACCGCCACCGATTGGACGTCGCCTGTAAAGACGCTCAAGGGGTGGCTCAAGGCTCGGAAGTCCCCCGGCCTTCAAAGAAGTTGTCTGAGCCCTTCCCGAAGGCACAGAAGACTTCTCAGAAGGCGCGAGGGCTTCTGAGAAGCCCCGCCGCCTTCTGAGCAGGCCCTCTCCTTCTCATTTGACCCCCTCGCTCGCCAGCGACTCTTGTATATCCCGCCTCAGGTTTGCGTCCCAGGGCTCGAAAACGGCTCCCCGATTCCCAGATCGAGGAGAAATGCTGGGATACAAAAACGCCAGTCGCCCGACGGTCAGGCCTCGAGGGTTGATGCTCGAGGGCAGGGATTGGCAGGATCAGCTGCAAGCTGAGTTGTTTCTTGTGTTCCACGCGGGTTCGACGCCGATATGGCGTGGATTCGGCGCGGCTTCGACACGGATTCGACGGGGTTTCGACGTTCCACTTGGCAATCCGACGCGGACTCGACACGGACAGCGGCGCGAGGGGACAGGCAAGGCCGCCTGAGGATGCAACATAAGATTCTCCTGCACTCAGACATCCAGCTTAACGAAACTCGCGCCCGATCATCCTCCTCCTCCTCTTCCTCATCCTCTCACTCCTCCTCCTCCTCCTCCTCCTCCTCCTCCTTCTCCTCCTCCTCCTCGTCCTCCTCCTCGTCCCCGTCCTCCTCGTCCCCCTCCTCCTCCTGCTCCTCCTCCTCCTTCTCCTCGTCTTCATCCTCCTCCTCCTCCTCCTGCCCCTCCACCTCCTGCTCGTCCTCCTCCTCCTCCTCCTCCTCCTCCTCCTCCTCCTCCTCCAATGTTCGGCCTCCGGAGAGGCCGCCAACAAAGCCTAACGCCAGGATGAAAGCCAGTCCCAGGGGCCCGTGGATAGAACAAAACACGACGTTGGAGGTTTTTTTTGTGGGTCGGGGGCAGCATTTCCGATCGTTTTTCCCCTGGTTGCACTCCTTCTTCTCGTTGTTTTCGTCTCCTCTTTCTCCGCTGGGGTGCAGCCCGAAGTGCTCCTCTGCCCATATATCTCCTTGGCACTAAGCCCGCTTTATCTGGCTGTTTCTGGCCCAGCCCCGCCTGGTCCAGCTTACTGCGGCGAATCAGGCTTGAGCTGATAAAAACCCAACTGGATCCGATTCAATTTGCCCGGGATGCGGCTGTATAGATTCTTGCTCTGACTCTTAAAACCCTTAAGACATTGCCATATTACCTCATCCTTTCTCCTCCTTCTCGTTGCCCTCCTCATCTTTCTTCTCCTCCTTCTTCCCTTCCTCCTCCTTCTCATCCTCTGCCTCCGCTTCGTTCACATCCTCTTGCAGCTGCTGCTAGTCCTTGCCTTCCTGCTGCTGCTGCTGCTTCTCCTCCTCCTTTTCCCGGTGCTGCTGTTCGTCGTCGTCGTCGTCCTCCTCCTCCTCCTTGCCTTGCTGCTGTTGCTGCTGCTCCTCCTCCTCCTCCTCCTCCTTATCCTCCTCCTCCTCCTCCGCGCTCCTCTGCCCGCCCCCGCCCTCCCCCACGTACTTCCCTGGCCCGTCCTCTCCGGCTCCTCCTCCTCCTCCTGCCGCGGCCGCTGCTGCTCCTCCTTGCCCCCCCCCCGGCTCGGACTTTCTTCAGTTACGCCTCACCTCCTCGCTCCCATCTTGAACAAGAAGTGGCGCAGTTATTTCGATCGGCACATGCCCAGCCTCTCTGGGACCCCGTGGGTGGGAGATGCTCCGCTCCGATCGTGGTCGTTTTGGCTCAAGCTTGGATTCTGCTTGGGAGGGAGGGTGACAAATGCGTCTGATCCTCATCCGTGTTCTCCTTCCTCTTGGTCCTGTCCGCTCCTCTCCTCCTGCGGGAGAAGTCCGCCAGGAGAAAGAGCGTCGCTTCCCCAGAAGATACGCGGGACGATGGGAAGTTGAAAGCGGAAGACGAACATCGAGAGACCACGAGACAGTATGGGGAATTTGGCCCTGCTCGCCTGGCTGCTGCTGCCCGCCGGCTGCTCATCGTCGAATTCTTCGGCGTCTGAGCGTCCCTCCTTCCTCCCGGTCTCCCCCCTCCCTCCTCTTGGCATCGCTCGGACGTGTGCATTTTTCTTTCAGCGAGGGCCATCGAGGAGCATCCTTGATTATTTGACGAAAAAGCCACGCACGAAACCGAAAGATGCACGGGAAATGGATGTCCGAGCGACGGCAAGTCCTTGCACGCCGGCCAATTCGCCAGAGTGCCCCTACCTATAGCTGCTCGCCGGTGCGGACCTCGCCGCCTCGCCGCTGCCGAAAAGGTGTGTGTGTGTGGCCGGTGCATGCCGCATCGTCGACGCAGTCGCTCTGCCCAGCCGCCGACGCAAAAAGGGTGTGTGTGTGTGTGGCCGCTGCATGCTGCACTGCCAGCGCAGTCGCCGCCGACGCAAAAAGTCCGCGGCGGAAGAGGAGGAGGAGGAGGAGGAGGAGGAGGAGGAGGAGGAGGAGGGAGGAGGAGGAGGAGAAGGCGGAGAAGGAGGGAGGAAGAGGGAGGGTGCCGTGGTGTGGCGGACTGAGGGGGCCCCCTCAGTCCGCCACGCCACGGGGCGCTTCCGACGCCCCGTTCCCGTCGGGGCCCCCGGCGGGCGGCCCGGGGTGCCGGCTCGTGCCCGCCGGCTCGGCCTCGGGCGGACGGCCGCCGGCCCTCGCAACCTCGCTGCTTTTTCGGGGGCTTCGTGCCTCCATCTCTGCTGGTGGGCCGATCTTTTCCACCACCGCAACCAGAGGTAGGAGAGGAAGGAGGAGGAGGAGGAGAGGGAGGAGGAGGAGGAGGAAGAGGAATAGGAGGAGGACCTCCCCATCCTCCATCCCCCCCCCCCGTCCTATGGTAGTGGTGGCGGAAGATGTGCCCAGCATCTTCTTCCCCCCTTTTCCCCCCCCCTTCCTGCCTTCGTTTTCACACGATTGTGGTCACGGGGGAAGAACCAGCCGGACCCGATACTTAGCGTTCACTAAACGCCCCTGGGCGTTTGGTACACAGCCCTGCCCTGTTCGATGAGTTGCTTCTCTGGGTGCGTTTACTCCTCGGCTTCGCGTGTCGGGGTGATGACTAGGAGGGCGGATTTTCTGCTCTCGGCGTGGTCTCACCAACCCCGCTGTCGCTGCCATGGACGAGGCCCCCCGCGCACGTTCGTCAAGCTCATCGGTTGCACAGTGCCGGCCGTTCTCTTCTTTGCGCCGCCTGCCTTTTCGGAGGCCACTCCTCCAAGAGCTGGCACGCAGGCCGCTCGCTCGATCGCTCAAGTGGGGGTCGGGGCGCAGATCCGAAGAAAAAACTTGTGCTTCGATTGCTCACGTAATGTGTTGCAGTCTGGCACGGGCGAAGCCAGTCGCTCCCCCAATGATGGCGGGCATGCGTCACTCCACAACCTGTGCAGTCACGAAGTCTGGCATGGCGAGAGCGAGGTGAAGGTCAGAGTGAGCTGGCCAGACGGTCTTGCACCGTCCCCCGGCCCGTGGCTGATCTGGGGTCCCGCGGCGGAGATTATTGTTACTACCTTGTTGTCGTCATCCTGCCCGCGACCCACCCAGCGACCCACCCGCGACTCACCCGCAACCCACTACGCGACCCACCCGCGACACCCCCGCGACGCACCTGCGACCCACACGAAAAGGTATCGGCGCCTGCGGTGGACCCATGGTGTGATGTGTAGAAAGTCGGCGCCTGCGGCGGGCTTCTTTACGATTTTCTTTCGAGCCTCGCAGGCTGCCAACGACCCCCCAGCCCCCTCACTATGTTCTGCAGTTGCGGGGCACTACGCTGCACTAGCCATACGCCGTCCGGCGCGTAGGCGTGAAAAGTCTTATTTCAAGCGCTCACAGCCAACAGGAGTAGGAGGAGGAGGAAGAAGAAGAGGAGGTGGACCAGTGCAAGCCCA